AAGCATGCATGCCTAGTCCAATTTGTGAACATATGGCTTTCCTCTTCTTGCCACTATAGGGTGGAAAGGGCCGGTTATCAGAGATCAAAGAAAGATCACAGAAGAGGGACGTGTGTGGAAGAAGGAGAAGAGCAGGCATGTGTGCTTGTACAGTCTTTCTATTTATAGCCACAACGTGCACACGTCTCGTCCAGCCAGCAGGGACATAGTTGGTGTCCCATGGAGAGTACTAGCTACCAGCCAAGAGGTGGAAGACGTTCTCCCGCTCACACACCAGGCACCTCTTTGTGCTATTGTGAAGTAATGAGAGCAAGACCCTTTGTACCAAAATGAATGAATAAATAAATAAATAGAATGAAGTCTCTCTGTAAGTAGATCCAGACAGCAATTATTCGGATATCGTGGTACTACTGAATAAAGCAGGAGATATGCAATCATTTGGCCACACCAAGTCAAAGTAGAATACAGTCAGTTGGCCACAACTCTCCTGCTAAGTGTCTACAACCTTGATTATCATTTGCAAGATGGAGAACAGGGACCATCCAACTTCGTTATTAATTGCCTGCTGTTTGAAAGCAATGCTGGCCAATTGTAATCAGGCGAAGGTTTGCTTGCCAGAGTTGATCTGGTGCTCAAGCTTCCTCCATGACTGAAATAGCATCAGAGGGAAATACACTCATAGATAGGCTTGGTGGCACATGCCCAGAGTCAGAAATCTGTCTTCAGAATTTCAAACTCAGTAGAATTCTCTGCAAGCTTTACTGTGATAAAATCAGTAATTCCCACACAAACCCAATGGAGTGTCAGAATAAAACTTTAAACTGATGCAGGATAAACCCTTCTCTAACTCGCTGGGTGGTGGTGCATGCCTTTAATCCCAGCACTTGAGAGGCAGAGGCAGGCAGATCTCAGTGAGTTCGAGGTCAGCCGGGTCTACAAAGTTAATTCAGGACAGCCAGGCTGTTACATAGAGAAACTCTGTCTTGTAAGAACCAACCCCCACAAGAGAAAACAAAAACAAAACCTTCCCTGACTCATAGTCATGAAGATTGTGGCAAATGGGGTTCCCAGGGAACAGACTATGAGATGGAGTTAGATTATATATGGGTACAATATGTAAGAAATGGGGAAGAATGACTGGGGGTGTCCATTATATCAGAATGCAGAACCGATAAGGTTTTTACCTCTTGAGAGGGATTCCAGAATCAAGAACATCATCCAAGGAATCTTACGTTGGGTAGAAATGGCTTGCACATTAAGGACCTCGTTGCTCAGTCATTGCCTGAGAGCCCCTCCCCATGAGCAGCATGAAGATAATCTAAAAGAGAGATGGCTCAGGCTAAGGGAACAGCTGAACGCAGCTAGCCACCCCCACATTTGCGTCTGACAAATGAGAACATTTATGAAAATGTCTCGGAGTGGCACTTCCTTACTGACTACAAAGATATTCTCTTATGTTTTCTCTCAAAACAAAATGCTTCTCGTTCACGATAAGTATATTCTTGGTGTGGAATTATTGAATTAGCCCTCTAAACGCTTCTGTCACTGAAATCATCCATCACTTTTGAAGAATTTTAATGTAGCCTCATAACAGGACATTGGATATTTGACGGAATAATAGACATTGAGCCCTGATTAAAGGACCCTTCATTTTAAGGGTTACACATAATGCAATGTATGCATTATGAGCTGGATCTCACTTTTGTAAGTCTAGATGATCAGTGAAGCGATAAACTCAGCCCTGATTTGTGACGGTTTCTAACTCCTATTGTGTAAATCGTTCAGGCACAGCTGATCTCTAGTAGACAATGTGAAGTCACCTGAGGAAGAGGAGGGACGAGAAGCACAGTCACACCCACAGCGGCATGGAGTATTTCCTTAATTGTTACCATAACAGCAAACACCCTCAAGCATAGACAATTTTAGTGTATTCAGTGAAATAACTAGTAAGAGGTTAGTTTTAAGTATTACTTTTGTTTCAATATAATTCACTTAATTTTAAGTCTTTATTATTTAATATCAATAGCTCCTGTGTTTGAAAGCCAGCTCGCTAACTTTTTAGAAATTTAGAAATAAAGGGAGCTCAGGAGGCAGTTCATTGGCCACCACCTACCTGGTTGCTCACAAGTCTCATTTAACTCCAGCTCCAGGAGATCTGATATTCTCTTCTGGCCTTTGTGGGCACCTGCGCACACATGCAACAGCCCCACAGATACATACCGACACATAAAATTTGTTTACAGACCAATAGAGCTGGCATGAGCAAACGCTATGACAACACTGCCACTGGAAACATTGCCTGTTAGGAGTACCTTCAGGACATGTAAAGACGTGGGTACAAGAATCTGCCTGCAGTGAGTGCTATCCATAGGTGAAGAAACTCAAGTTGAACAAATTGTCTGTAAGTACAGGGGTGATAAAGTAATCTTCAAATAGGACAATGTCAATTAGGTCCTCATGTAGCAACACAGATCAGTCTCAAATGAAAGCTGCAAATAAGTGTAGCCAATGTGACAACTAATATGTAAACATTTTAATAAACACATACACAATTTGGGTCTACTTTATAAAAGTATGCACATGAATTTAAAGTATAAGAACATGAAGCACACAAGCTCAGAATCATCGTTAGCTCTAGGGAGGGAAAGACGTTGGGGTAGGACTTTGGCTGTAACTATAACTTTTTACTTATTTAAAAGGATGGGAAAGTCACATGATGATGTGATCTGAGAAACAGGAAAGAAAGCCAAGAGAACAAACACAAAGTGCCCCTGAGAGAGACGCACAGGATGTCTATAAAATATTCCGACTGCAAAAAGAGGATGCATAACCGTGTCAGTGTCTAAATCCAGATCACTCTGTTAGTGAATAGAGAGGACTAAGAAAAATGGTAAATGGAGCAGCTCTGAAGCCATGGGCAAAACCTAGAGTGAGTTTCTTCATCCGAATACAGGGCAAGGAAGATGAGCCGTGATGTAAACAAGGACTCCTCAGACTGAAAGGGGAGGGGCAAGAGGGCTATCAAACGTCTTTCTTCATCCGAATACAGGGCAAGGAAGATGAGCCGTGATGTAAACAAGGACTCCTCAGACTGAAAGGGGAGGGGCAAGAGGGCTATCAAACATGTCCATTCTGGTAAAAGCAAACATACAAATCACAGAAAAAGAAAGCAGGAAAACTTGAACATCAGTGGATGTCTCAGCACATTAAGGAACTGCCAATAAATGGTTTAGGTGACATGATATTGTGACTATATTTTCTAAATAATCCTTATCTCTTAAAATTCAGTGCATAAGAACACAAAGGTGATGTGAAAAGATGGATAAGATTTCCTTATAAATAGTCTAAGGATGTCAAAAAAAAAGTGGATAGGGTGTGAATGCAATAAGATTGTTGCTTTTCCTGTTATAGATTTAGTTTTCGGTAAAGTTTTCCTTTTTTTTAAGAAGAGAAGGAAGAGAGAAAAGGAAATAAACAACAAAGAAAATGCTAATTAAATCTAGGTGGGTTAGCATTTGTTTTATCTAATGGTGTCATTTTGTTTTCTACATATATCTGTTTCAACAATTGTATGATTTAAATTTTAAGAAATTTAATTTGCTATAAATATCTCTGCAGTGCCCCATATATAAGCTATACCCTGGCTATATTTCAGCTACAGGATCAAGTCTCACTGCAGGAGACAGATAAGTTATCAGCCTTGAGCCTGGGGCTTCCCACAGCCTGCTCCTCAAACGTGCCAGACGCTTTTGATTTACCCTCTTACCAGATTCCCTCAGCCTCTCCTCCGATAGCGGACAACTATTATCTGGTGCCATGAGTCAGACATTAACCTCGCATGCCTACTTGAACAAAAAAACCCTTGGTCCTCCCAGCAGCCTGAGTGGTATGAGGACCACTTCCCCTCCCAGTGATTTACTGTTTGCCCCTTGGAGAAAGTCAAAGTTACAAGATTCATCCGTCAGTGATATCACCCCCCAAACATAGCATGCCTTGCTCTTGTGAATGTGAAAAGGACAGAGCTGCATTCTGTTGTGCTTGGGTGTTGGTATGCAGGTTGCTCATAATGATCCTCCATCAGAGGCTTTCTGTAAGCAGGTGACCTATTTCTAAGTTCAGGCAGCCATTCGGCAACCAGAAAGGAACATTAATGCCTGTGTGTGTGTCACTCTGACTGAAATATGGCTGAGCCCTTCCAAATACTTCGGCATAGCTGGATGTTCTCCACCGGACCCACAAGCTCATATTCACTGGTACACATTAAAGACCATAACTCAGTCTCTTTGATGGCCATTCACAAAGGAGAAGTTAAACATCTTCAAAAGCAAGTTAGCTAAAAATCAAACAATGCTAGTCAGAGGCTGAGAATGGTTTCTAGGACCTTCTAAAGACCTTGTGTTTAACGTCTTAAAATGGGAAATGGTGTTCCCCTTAACTTATAAACCTCTGTGCCAAATTCCATGCATTTTGACCAATAGCAGCATTAAAGAGAATCTCTCTTAATGTACAGACACACTGGGGGAGGGGAAGGTGGAATGATCTCCACACAAATAACAACAAAAGCAGTACGAAGATGTCTGGGTTGGGCTCTGATAAATGATTTACTACCGGGGCAATATGTGGTTATTAAGGGCATGGACTTTGAAACCAGAATGCTACATTCAGATTTCAGCTGCGTCATTACTAGCAATGGACCTTGGGGAAACTATTAAATTGTCTTGTGTTAGAGTCTTTGCTGCCTTAACATGAAACTAATAGCGCTTATCCCGTATGTATGCTGCCTAAAAATTACACAGCTATAAAGCATCTAGAACTCGCAATAACTAAGGCAACCCAAAACCTTGAGATATAGTTGTTCAATTTATTTATTGAGAGGAGGCTGACAACAAGATGGCTCGGCAGTTAAGAGCAATGGCTGTTCTTCCAGAGAAGCTGACTTCAGTTTCCACCACACACCGCAGACAGCTCACAACCCCCGTAACTCTAGCTCCAGGGGATCTGATGCCTTCTTCTGGATTCTTTGGGTACCCCACACCTATACACATAGACAGACAGGCGGATAGGTATACAATCAAACAAACATACAAATAAATCGAAATTTTAAGGTATCTACGTTAAGAGATACTGTGAAAGAGTTTGGATGAAGGTGAGATTTAGTACCGGGTGACTGACACACTCAAGCACACATTCAGAATATTTGAACTTTGTCGTGCTGTGCTGGCTTGCCTTCATAAGTGTGTCTCACACCCTGAGAATGAGTGTTAATTGTTCCAGGATTAACCTGGAAAACCTTGAGTCCCAGCGAGTCTTTTCAGCACAAGCTGAGAAGATGAACTGGAAGTGCTCCATGCCCTCACAGGACGCTGATGTCCAGAACAGTCTTTCCTTAGCTAGCACAGTACACTTAGCTATTCTCATCTGGAGTGTCTTTTTTTTTTCTGGAGTGTCTTTTAAATAAGTACTCATATTTATATAAATTCTATGTGAAGACAAAAGAAATGATGAAAGTTATGACTTGACATTAAACACTAATTAAAATATAAGCATATAAACACAGTAAATATGTACCACTCACCAAACAAGCAAAATATTATCCTGATGAGAATGCAATCACAGGTTTGACAGGGACGGAGGGGGGAGGACTTTGGACTTTCCACAGGGCAGGGAACCCTGACTGCTCTTCAGACTTGAGAGGGAGGGGGAGAGGAGTCGGGGGGAGGGGGAGGGGAGTGGGGGGAGGGGGAGAGGAGTGGGAGGAGGGGAGAGGAGTGGGAGGCTGGGAGGAGGCAGAAATTTTTTTTTCCTCAATAAAAAAAAAGAAAAAAAATGAAAAAAAAATAAATAAAAAATAAAAAAGGGAAAACTGTAAAATGGAAAGAAAGCCCTGGCGACACAAAATACGCAATTATTTAAATATGCTTTAGTTTTTTAAAAAAGTACTAAATAAAACCACAAATAGATAAGCAATAGTAGGGTAACTTGGAAGATAATTATCAAATATACTTCCACAAACTATTATCTTTTGTTAATCAATTATTTCATGTTTTCTTTGCTGCCTTGAGAAAAAATGAGGGAGATAAAAGTTACCATGTCTCTTTGAGGGTCGTTGCTCAGACTCCATCTACTCTTCCTTGTCCCCACAGCACCTAAGCTAAACACAGGGGCTTCCTTAAATATAAGCAGACAAAATACATAAATAATTCCTTTGTTTTCAAACATAACTTTCTGCAGTGAATATAAATACTGAGTGTGTGAATGTGGTTGGCACAAAGCTGAGGATCCTGAGGCCCCTTCTAGGTGTGCTCTTATATTTGCAGTTTAACATCAATTATTTTCTTATCAGGGAGCCATTATGGAATTATCTCAGATTTTGAACGAAGAAATGTAAAATTCATAATAACAAGGAGGCAGATATTTTTCAAGCACACTTTAAGGTTTCAAACTTAATTATAATTATGGCACGATATAAATTCATAAATTGTAAAGGATAGAATTTAAGTCTAAATCGTCCCCATTCCCCCTTTCAGTAAATGCTGAAGTTGCAGGCGAAGCCAGATGCAAGCAAACCCTCAGGAGAATTCGAACACCAGGCCTTTCAACATATCAAACATCTTCTCCTCAGAGAAATGCCACAAGGAACTTTAAATAGGCCTCAGAAATGATGACTGAAAAATATGGGAAATGTGTAAGCTTAATTTCTTTCTTCCGCTAGAGGAATTAAGGCAACGTGAAGCAGAATTAGAGGCATGTAACTGATTGTGGAGAAAAGCGTTTTCCTGTTCTTCGTGTACAGCTAATTTCAGCTCTCACGCATCAGCATTTGTATTAGATTTACTCGGTGACTGTATATGTTTATAGGATCCTTCTTAGGAGCACTGGTTTCACAAAGACCCCTTGGGTCCTTCAGGAAGCAGACGCTGATGCCGCGTTTGAAGAGCCAACAGTTTATTGGGTAACAAGACCCATGAAAGATCAAAAGATGAGGTTGCAGAATTGGGCAGGGAAAGCTTTCCAAGCATCGTGCTGATCCGACACTCGTGAAAAGAAACGGGGAAAAGAAACAGGGTTTGGCAGGGAGCTCTCGTGCCAGAAGGCAGATCTGGCAAATCTTCAGCCACTGCAATACCGAGCTTAGAAAAATATTATGTTAAAAGCACCCATGTTGGGCAGGAGTGACAAGGCCTTAATCTCCCTTAGTGCTCAATTACTGGCTGGACACTGACCAAGAAGTTCACGACGAGGCCCTAAACCTAAGCGACAGCCTGAAGGGGGGGCAACTGAGGCAGACCTCTATCTGCATTCCTTTCAGCAGATTTCTCTTTTTTTCTTGAGGTTAGATCAGAGAAGTCCCTGGCTTTTGTATATAGAAAAACTTGCAGCTCTGCGGCTTACTACTCCCCGCCCCCGCCCAATTATCTCACTCTCCCTGCCTTCTGCAGGCATGGTCATCAGCCCTGCCTACCTAAGAGTGCCATCAGACATTCAGCTCCTCTCCCTCCCAGCTTTCTCTCCTGCTATCTCAGGCTACCACCAATCAGAAGTAGCAAGGCAGGCATCTACTTTGTGGGTTCAGAAGACCGTTTTGCCTGAGGATCTATCTACACCATCCTTCTGAAGTAACAATGTAGTCAGAGCCTCTAACTCGTAACAAGTCATTTTCTATTCAGCCCGGTGGTGAATAGGAAGAAACACTTCCTATATTATCACGTTTCTCTGCTTTGATGGCCAGGTGCAGTCACTCAAAATTCTTACTAGGGTTTCTGACACTATGCTGGTAAGGGCAGCGGCTTACTTCTTCAAATGTAAGAGAGGTGTCCCTTTTCAAAGTTTATCATTTCTCGTTATTCCTAGAGTGGCTTCGTTTTTGGAGCTCAGTGTTTTCCAGGCTGTGTATTCAGAGAGGCTTGCAGACTCAAGAGAGGGTTAGGAAATCAAACTAGGTACCTCATAATAAAGAGGCAGGCAGTAGCAACATGAGGACAATGATGAACCAGATAGCACAGTGCCTAGACTAAAGCCTGGAGCTCATTGCTACCTGGCAGGGTGGCCAAACTTTCACATTGCAACAGAAAATGGCAACACATATTTTAGTGGCAAACGTTTTTGCAAGGTCATCTGCTAAATTATGGAATATAAAATGTGCATATTCTTATTGTATCCTTTAGAAACTATACAGAAGTATGTATAGAATAGCAGTTGTATATTATAGTTCAAGCAGTGGAAAAGCAAAGAGTTATCACAATGAATCGAATATTATTAATAAAAGCTTTATATAAAATGGAAAAAGTATGTATAACCATGTCTGTCAAAGCATTTTTCTTTTTATCTTTCTTTTCTTTTTTATAATTTTTTTTTCATTTCTTTTCTCTTCCTATTCTTCCTCCTTGAGACAGGATCTTACTCTGTGGCTCATGCTACCCTGGAAATCACTATGTAGACCAGGTTAGCTTCAGACTCATGACAGTATGCCTATCTCAACCTCTGGAGAGTTGGCTTATAAGTATTAGCCACTTTACTAGGTATAGCTCAGCATTTTTATCTTTCTTCTTTCCGGTCTTTTAAAAGTCTTTCTCTTTTCTTGAGTGAAGCAGGCGAGTTTTTCCCTTTAAATCATCTACATCATAAACCAACACAGGAGCTTGCCTTGGAGCTCACCTCTCTCCTGCTTTCCTTGAGCAAAGCCATTTAGTTATACAGATGCAAGAAGACTCTTGAATGGAGAAAAACACGGCAGAGCCATTTATTTGATTTGATGAACTCTCCCTTCCCTTGATGCATACATAACTTACTTATATCAGACCCTCTGACAAGGAATACCATATCCCCAAACTCATCGGCTCTCAAATTCAAAGCCCACAATGCCTGTGGGATAAAACAGATGGAGTTTAAGATAAAGCAGAGACGTAATGGCCTTAAAACAGCCAGATGAGCCTGCTCCAGTGTTAGAACTTGAAGGGAAGGGAAACCATGATTCTTTCTACGTCACTGCAGCCAATTGCTGCCCTGAGGACAGTTAAATTGTTTGGAATCTCAGATCAAATCACTAAGAGCCCCAGGCAAGTTTTAAATATATACACATTTACTGTGGTTTATGAGTACTTATGTGTGTGCTTCTGAGTGTACATCTTTATATAATGTGCATGTGAGAGTCCATACAGACCAGAAGAGGTATCCTCTGAAATTGGAGTTAGCTGTGAGCTTCCGTGTAGGAGCTGGGAACTGAACGCGGGTCCTTTGCAAATGCAGTAAATGCTCTTACCTGCTGAATCATCTTTCCAGGCCCCAGGTAAACTTCTCTTTGCCCAAAGGAAACACATTTCCTTCCCTTGGTGCTTTGGAGGGACAAGTTCTTGCCCTAGCATCTAACATGTAGATCATTCTTGAGTCTATAAATCAGACCCTCAAAGGCGGTACACTCTACAACATTTGGAGACATTTTTAAGAAGCCCCTGGCTGTAAGTGTGGGGGCCCACAGGTGTGGACCTGTTTCACCTTGACTAAAGATCAAAGAGTTTGAGCTTATCTCTGCTCTTTCAAAGTTGTTGACGACAGGTGTGGCTACAAACAAGAGACCCTGACCTAAGGTGTGGTTAGTGAGCATTTTGAGTGTGAAGGTGGAGCCTCTCCACCTGGCTATTCCTGTTCCTTAAAGGAGATTGACAGGAGGTTCCAGGGTGGAACTGCCTGCAGGATACTTACTCTACTCCTTACCTCGTGCTAATGACGTCTGTTGCCTCTCTCCCCCCTTCAGGAGTGAAGTATATAGGCCTGTGGAAAATAAATGTGGGTCATTCAGTATTCACTGAATTTCCCTACTGGTGCTTTTCTGTCTGTCTTTGAATTCTCTCGTATCTCTGTTCCTTTGACTTAATAATTCTTATCCTTGCACTCCTACTCTGGAATGTGCAAATTTTGCCAAGGCTGGACCCTGACAGATGTGGCCCCCAACATGTGGCTTACAACACATGTGAACTGGACACCATTACTAGTCATTCTAAGAAAATGTTTTAACTTTAAGTCATTCACAAGGCTTAATTACAATAAGGGAAAAAACGAGAACTTTAGTTCAGTAAATGCTCGCCGAGACTCAGAGACGCCATTGTGTATAAAGCAATACTGTGCATGATGGGATATAATTAGATAAAAATCATAAGCAAAGATTGGATGCTGAACTCGGGGAACTTACTCTCCAGAACTTAATTATTTTTAATTAATTAATATGTTGTTTAATATGTGGTCATTAGCAGCAAGTATCTATTTAGAATTAAATGTACTAAAGTTATGCAGGAATTAAAATAATCTTTCCCATCAGAGCAGCCATGTTCTGAACAGTATCTAGTCATGCTGACATCATCCTAGAAGCTCCACCCACCAACCACACTGAGCTAGAACACAGCGGAGGTGGTGCTTTCCACTCTTTCAAGCCATAAAGCATGTGCCATAAACCCTCAGCTCTACTGTTTCAGCCTAGACAAGAAGCAATTAAATGAACATGGAGATTCCCATAAAACTAATTATAGCAACAGACATCAAAACAGGTTGTCCTGGGGACTATAGTTTGCTGATCACCACCTAGAGAAAGAGACAAGCACAGGGTAAGACTGTAACATGGGAACAGAGAAAAGAGCAACTCCCTTCCGGGGTGACTTTGCTATGTCGTCACTTACTTTTACGGTAGGAATTGAACCCAGGACCTTGCACATTTTGGGTAAGATATGAGCAGCTATGCTCCATTAATCTTTTTTAAAGATCGAGTTCTGGGGAACTGGTCCCACGAGGGGTAGTGGCAGGTGACCTGAGGCCTTGGTGGGTCCCTCAGGCCTTGGCGAGTCCCCTGAGGTCTTGGGGAAGGGGGTGGTCACCCACCCTGACATGTGGGAAACCTCAGTGGAAGAGAGACAGATACATCATGCAGAGAGAGTTTAGGTATAGAGTTTATCTACTGGGTTATGGAGGGAAAAGAAAAGTGGGAAGGCAAGGAGAAAGAAAAGAGAGGCAGAGAGAGAGAGAGAGAGAGAGAGAGAGAGAGAGAGAAAAGGAGAGTTAGAAAGAGGGGGAGAGATGGGGGAAGAGAGAGCAGAAGTTACTTCTACAGGAGAAAGAGATAGAAAAGAGAGAGAGAGAGAGAGAGAGAGAGAGAGAGAGAGAGGCCAGCAGGCTGGAGTAGGCAAAAGATCACCTTGACTCAGCAGAAGGGGAGGGTTGGGAGTGGGTGGGGCTTGTCTCTTAGCGAGCTGGGTACACAGGTGACAGCCAGCAGATCATAACACTCCCAGCTCCCTAACTGCTTTCAGATGGTTTGTTGTATAGAAATAGATAACGGAAACAATAAAGCATTTTCTTCATTCTTTTTTAGGTTTTGTTTTTGTTTTTCGAGATAAGGCTTCTTGGTATAGCCCTAGCGGTCCTGGAACTCACTCTGGAGACCAGGAAGTTCCAGTAACATCTTCAGTGAGTTACATAAGCAACTTTCTCAACCCCAAAGGACAAACTATTTAATGTATTATACTCCAGTGTTCAAATGTGATATCCTTTAGAGCGCCTCTTTGAATTTCTCCATGCAAACCTGTCAACCCCACCCCCTTTAATGGCTATAAACATTTTAAAGTCTCTGTGACTGCACATTGGGTTCTAAGTATTTTCACCAGGTCTTTTTCTATGGAGGCACGCAAGCTGATTAACAGCAGAGTTTGTGAATCCTGAATCCTCAACATTTCAGACATGTTTGGCATCTAGTGGGCATGTAATAGAAATTAAATCGGGGAAAAAAAGAAATTAAATTGGTATATCCATACCTTGATAGTAAAGTAACATCAGTGCCTTTACATGCTCCACATTTAGCATTTTCTAGTCATTGTTGGATTCAGGTATGTGGGGTTCCTTAGCCCTTGTCTATGTCCTTCCAACAGCTCGCTGGGAAGGACAGCAGGACGCTTATGTTATCTTGTTCCAGAATAGTGAAATTCACTAGTTCTATGCTACAATGGGGCCCACAAAGATATCTCCTAACCCCACAAAAGCCCATGTTCATTATATGCATTGGCATCTATATGTGGCAGAAATGCAGGATGGCTTGTTAAATATTCATGTCCCAGAAGTAGGAAGCTAAACACACTGACATGCAGGGCTCTGCCACCTTACTAGGGATCCAGTGAAATAGAATATTTCTGTATATTCTCTCAGTGCCTACAATAAAGAAGATAGCAATGCTTAAGAAACAGCATTTGATTGGGCTCAACAGATAGCATATTTAAGCATACTGTTCCCAACCATTTGGCAGAGTCACCAAAAGGCCAAGAGCTTTGCGTAAGTCCCAAAGGAAGTGAAACCTTAGCAAAACTCTACTGCAGTGGCAATGAGGCTTTAATTATATTCAAATGTCTATGGCCAACTCTGATGTTTATAGCCAATTTAGTCAGCAAAATCCTAATACAAAGTCATATTTTATCAGCAATTCAGTCCTCATTTGAGAAACCGCTTTTGATTTGATCTGCTCTTGGCAGAAAATGAAAGTCTGACTTTGGTGGCAACAGGACACCATTGTTATCACATCGTCGGATCACCTGACTTCTGTCACAAGAGCGGGTATTCCCAGTGCATTGCCACACGGATGTGGAAATAAAATATGTGAGTCAAAGCAAAGGAAGCACCGGAAAACACAGGAAAATTTGCACTCGCAGTTGATTTTCCCACCCTACAGGTTCACCTGTCTTTTGCTCTGGCAGCTCCTCTTCAATTTCTACTCACGTCTCCTGGGGAGTTTCTTATTTTGAACTGATCAGACAGGGACAGTCACCGTTGGCATTTTGTTCATCTGGTTTTGAGGCAGGCCCTCACTGTGTAGGTCTGGCAGCCCCAAAACTCCCTTTGTAGACCAAGCTAGCCACAGGCTCACAGAGACCCACCCGCTTGATATGCTCCACCAGCAGCTGAGGTTTTTTGCATGCCCTTTAAAAACTAGAGATGGCTCGGTGGTTAAGAGCATTGCCTGCTCTTCCAAAGGTCCTGAGTTCAATTCCCAGCAACCACATCAACCACATAGCCAGGCGGTGGTGGCGTACGCCTTTAATCCCAGCACTTGGGAGGCAGAGGCAGGAGGATCTCTGTGAGTTTGAGACCAGCCTGGTCTACAGAGCTAGTTCCAGGACAGGCTCCAAAGCCACAGAGAAACCCTGTCTCGAAAAATCAAAAATAAATAAATAAATAAATAAATAAAAACAGGCGAGGAAGAAGAGATGCCAAGCCCTTTTGATAGTTTATCTTATGGTCCACTCTGCCTTGTTGAACAGCTAGCATGGCAGGAAATCTATGACTGTCTTCCTTCTAGCTACCACCTTCCTTTCCAGGGGTTTTCAGGGCCTTGTTCCTCCTGAGGTAGTGGTCTAGCCTGGAATCTCGGTTGGGATTTTCCAGACACTGGGCTAGATATTTGTACACAACATTGTTCCTGTTATCGATAATCCAGATCCTAATATTTTAGAAGCATCAGTAATTAAGAAAGGAATGCTTCTTTGAGGTAGCCAAAAATGATACAACCACCCGGGTAGTCAGATTCTGCTAGCCATTGATCCAACAGATGAAAATTTATTTATTCTTGGTTTAGATGATTATTTGTGAAACTAAGAAGAGAAAACAGTGAGGGTGTGACGCTGTGACAAAGGGCCTGTGGGGTACATGTGAGGCCTTGGGTTCCAATTCTAGGCAGAAATAAAATAAGATGGCCTATGAAACTACACAGGTGGAAGGACCCAGAGGAAAACCTGGCAGATGGTCCATTTTTAAGCGAAAAACAAATGTAAGTTAGCTAGGCACAATAACAAACACCTATAGTCCTGACTATGTTTGGGAGGCTGAGGCAAGGGAACTCAAGACCAACCTGGTTGCACAGCAGATACAGTCCAAATAATGCCAACAAAGAAAATCAGTGACTTGAATTCAAACTATAAACCGAGTGTTGGGGCCACATTAACTCATCAACGTTAGACAACTAGAAAACTAGGTGCTATTACAGGAATTATTAATTTTCAGACATTAAATGAGAGAAAGAAAATAAAAGAGGCCAAAGAGACTTGAAGAAAGAGTGTGTGTGTTTGCGTGTGTGCATATGTGTTTGTATGTTTGTGTGCATGCATGAATATTTGTATATGTGTATACATATGTGTGTGCTGTGTGTATATGTGTGCGTGTGTGTGAATGTGTGTACATGTGTGTTTGTATGTTTGTGTGCATGCATGAGTATTTGTATATGTGTATGCATATGTGTGTGTTGTGTGTGTGTGTGTGTGTTAGATGATGTTATAAATATCTTGCAGGAACTTTTTTTCACAGCTACCAACATATCCTAAGCCTCCCAACTCTAAAATCTGAAATCTAAATCATTATTTGAAAGTCACTTAACATTCCATAGTAAAAGTATGTCACATTGAATTATCACTAGACAGTCTGTAGTTGTTTTTTACTTCCATAATCAATGCTATATACAATAAAGACTTTTAAATGGAACCTTCAATATTGGTGTTTATATCTCTACAGAAGAAAATTTGAAGTGGAGTTGGTAATTCAAAGAGAATTTACATTTTAAATTATTGTAGGCACTAGTAATAATTGTGATTTTTATTCCCACTAACAATGTATCACAATGACCACTTTCTATGTGTTTGGGCCTCTGGCACCATAACTGGTTTGCTCAATGAGGACAGCACATGGTTGGACTTAAGTGTGTTTTCTTTGTTTTACACTGAGGTTCCCAGATTACCTATAGGAGATTG